ATATATATATATATACACACACACACACACACACATTTTATAAATAATATGTACAGGCCTATATAATTTTATATACATCATTTTATTCCTTTCTAATGTTCTTGAGCATTAAAAAGCATAATTTTGCCATTTTCCATGCTCTTTTCCTTTTAGAATTAAACGTGAAGGCGAAATGATAATTAATTTGATTTATTTTGCTGTTAAGCCTTTAGGACGTCAATGCAAGCACCCTCTTCATATATAAAATGAAAGATAGGAACATCTGAAACGCAAACCAAATTTTTTGCATGAGCCAAGATCTCCATTTTCCTTCCTCATGACAGTTACCTATTTTACAAGCAAACTGCTGCTACTTCACGATCTCAAAATATCATGACTCACCGCCCTAAACTCACACTCCCAATTCTATTTCCTAGCTTTCTTTCTGACACTTTCCACACGTAGGCACAATCCGGACCACATTCGCTGCTGCTACAAATAGAATTACATATACTACTATGGTGAAAGCGCAGCTCATGAATATTAATTAGGTTCTTCTGACACTGCTTTAACTTCCCTGCACATTTTGGTCACGTAGCCTAATTTAAATTAACTGCGCGAGTCTTTGCCATTAGGTAATTGGTCTGCTACTAACGTTCACCGGCCAGTGTCTGCCTTTCAGCCAATCAGTAAGGCTTACTGGCTCACTACTAATTAATATTCATGACTCAAGCCTTTTCCATAGTAGAATTTATGAACTGGCGTCCTGAACTAGGGTCAACAGCTGTGAGGACTAGTGACGCTTAACTAGCTTTGGTCACAGCGCGCACGTTGCTTACATTAAAGGGGTCATATGGTTTCAAGCATCCACAATGTCCATTATCGAGTTGCTCTAGTTCTCGCCTTGTTGACATCGGCTTAGGCCAGCCTACTGAAAACGTATAGTCACACTATTGGTTTAGGTTCAAGTCAACCACGTTTTAAGACCCGCCTCAACACACAACCTCAACGGCCATTGGACAGAACGCTTGTCAATAAACATGACGCAGTAGTATTCCAGCAAACCCCGCCCTCCTTATGGCACAGAAATGTTGACTGGAACTAAAAAAAAACAGCATTTTACATGAAGTAAAATAATTAAAACTATCAAAAAACACCAATACAGACAAGTCAAAGGCTTATCTAACAGATTTTATAGATGTCAGTGCAATACAGCGAGGTGCTCCGGCTGTACAAACCGTTTAACCCAGGCTCCCCGTTGTTGTCTGCTGGAGCAGCAGCGTCGGACATCGTCGCTCTGTGTAGGGCGGCTTGCATAAGACTGTCTGTTAGCACCGCACGAACACAATCTGCGCACGCACGCACACACACACGCACGCACATTTGGACCTGCGCGCTCACGCATGACGGAGCCTGATCACGGATCTGACGCTTTGTGGAGGGGGTGCTTTTAAGTTCGTTAATAACTGTTTTCAGTGGCTGACCTCAGAACTGTTATGGGAGCACAGGTTTCTTGCAGCGCTAAAAATGACGCAAATGGGTTCATATCTGATAACAAAGACACTAACATTACGTAATGGACTCAGGCTGCTTATTTATAAAAAACGCACGTGTATTATGAACGCAGTCTATGTCAATAAACTAAAATGCCATATGCCAAGCCCATTTAACATTTATTTCTTAAAACAAACTAGCATCTATTGTTGTTGCTGATACTTTTTAATTACCTGCAAGTCATCCAATAATGACCACTATCTTTTTCAATTTCATTAGTAACTTTTCATATGAAGTATGCTTTCCATTATAGTCACTACTCCAATTGTGATTTCCCCCCTCACTCTACGTTTACATGCACAATTTTTGGTGAATCTGAATGTAGTGATGAATCTGAATGTAGAATATGAATTTGATGAATCTGAATGTAGTGTTTATATGAACGCTAAATAAAATTATCCGGTTGATGTGCGCGTTTATACGTCATTACGCTATTTCTGCGTCATTGCACACGTGCAGTCCTGTCAGTTTCGGGCTTCAATCCGATCGAGTGTTTACATGCACTCTCAATCATATTAGAAAAGGAATAAACCACCCCCCAATCCGTGTATCATTCGATCATTCGTTTTTTGATTTAATATTGAAAGTAGAAAAATGAGAAAACGGCTCCTTTTTCGTTTTTTTT